GCGCTAGCGAATCGAAATATCGCATTGTCGCCAATGTTTTAAAGTGGGCTTCCTTTAAACGTTGTGTCCCGCCACTTTCAAACAGTGTCCAGTCGCTGGCACATAGTTCGATCTGCTGGTACACAGCTCGATTCGCTGGATTCGCAGTCTGACATCGGTCTATCTCATGACACCTCGGGTTGATCATGCGACCTAAAGCAACAAACCCAGATCAACGTGGTGGGGTAACAGCGGTCGATAATAAAATTGTGGATGTCGAGCCTACCGAAAATGAAATAAGAAGCAAAGCGAACCGCCGATTACGTCCTTAACAAGGGCTCCCCTTCCCCAGAGGGCAGCGCTCGGACGAGTTATCTGGTCTTGCTTGTTCTGCTCCATTAACACGTGCGTAGTTGAATCAGCCGCTACATAGTAATCCATGGCGTGTGTCATGGGGTGTGCGCGAGGTATTTCGTCCATTAGCTCACATTAGCCGTCATTAGCTCACTTTTAAGGCCCTAGCGCCACTGTCGCGCACTTCGCAGTCGCGGCAACGGCACAACTGGGATACTTTCGGGCTACTCATCCTATTCGGAGTAGATTGTTGAAAACACATTTAACACGTTGACGACGAGCGATTTTTTCCTTGTCGCGCGCATGGGACGAGGCGTTTTTTGCATGCAAAGCGCCGGTAACAACAGGGCAAAACTTATTTTGTAGCTCTGTAAAATCTCGAAATGCACAAAATGCCTTTGACTAGAGTACTCCAGACACGTTTAGAAACAAGGAAAAGTTGTTACTACTGAATGCTGGGTGAAATTTCAGTGACATCGCCTGGCATTTTCAAACCTCAGGTTAGAATAGGTTCTGAAGGCGCAATTTCACGCATTCTTCATTTTTATTATTAATATGAGCTTTCCTTTAGATGGTACTGGTATCCTGATCACATCTGAAATCTTCTACGAATTTTTCACTCAAGAATGACGCAAAAAACTTTGCGTACCTGACGGAATGAGCTTTTGTTTGACTGTTATCTTGTTCTTCATGATCGAATAAGAGATTTAAACGAGTCATTTCAAGGTCAAAAAATTGTTTGTGAAATATTTGGCAGTTGATGGACTGGATAGGTACTTTTGTCCTGCCTATGAGTAAGACTGAGCCTACTTGACCATCATGGGAACCTAAGGCTAGAAATGGACATTCTACTGACGGTGACCTAATTAGTAAAGGTCGATATGAACAATTTTAGTGAGATTTCCAGTTTGCTGACGGTGGGAACTTTGTGGTTGTGATTCAATTGACAGCGCGTTTCTGCCACTGATAACTAATTCAGAATAAAACTCCCAGGAATTAGAAAGATCATAATTCGCAGACAAGTGTAGTAAGTTAGGACACTGAAGTAAACGTTGAAATAGAAAAGTCGCGGGTTCCATCTAAGTTTGCTTACTTTCAAGCTGTCGGTCACCATTGACCGACATCGTCCCATGTGACAGACTGCCTGTCGGTCAGCATTGACCGACATCGTCGCCAACGTGTTAACTGAGGTTGTTGCTCTAAACTGCAAACGGACCGCAGGAGTCCCAATGTGCGACGCGGCCTAAGGGAGAGTGTCAGTGGGAAGCGACGTCACCTAAAGTGAGCGGTCATTTCAATCGCTTTCTGTTTATTGTTTCCGACTCTAAATTCCAAACAAAATGTGGTCATCATCGTGAAACTGCTTTATCAAGCAATGCGTTAGGAGTGTGCTTACTGAATCGTTAGCAGAGCTCATTCCTTTCACTATTTTTCCTCAGGTACACTTGCTCTCGTTGTGGCGCAGGTTTCGACTTGAGTGAACCATACAAAATCCATCTTCGTCAACATGACGGTCTGCAACCGTACTCTTGTTCTATATGCGGAAAGAAGTTCACATCAAGAGCAGTTTGCAGAAGACATCGCATAAGTCACAATAAAGTTCCATAGAAATATTTGGAGTGTGCATGAAGAAGGGATTGCACCGAAATTCAATGTGAACAAAAGATGAATTCGCTATAATTCATTAGAAGTATCTATGTACATAGAAATTAAACTCGTAAACCAGTTATCACATGAGACGGTCACTTAAGCGATCCTTGAAACAACGTCTCGAACATCTCCACCAGTCGTCTCATCTCCTTGCTAAAAAACAAAAACAAATGCTTACAATGTTATAGAGCGTTTTATTCTGCACTCACATTTGTTTCGATAACGCAGACATTTTCTGCATTGAGTGATTCACCTCCTCGACCTTAGCTAACATCTGAAACATTTTGCTTGCTCTTTGTTTGTAAGCAAAAGACTGCTAGACAACGTCATTAATTCCTTCATAAAGGTGGCAAGATATTTTGCACTGACAACATGAGGCTAGATACAATTCCTCCAACAGTGCTTCAAGTGAAAGTGTTTCAATTCATCTAGCAAAGCGAAATGAAACCGTGTTACCTACAAAATTCCATGACTAGAGGCGAAACCCGCTCATTGCAACTTTTGTTCTCGAGGTCGCTATTGTATTTCGCGTGCGCAAAATTTATGGTTGCTAGCCTAGTAGGATGGGGGAGGGGGAGGTAGCCGCCGCGACGCACCCTTTATTGTGCAGAACTCGTGAGTCAGGGGAGTGTAACCATGCAAGGGGTGGGGAGGTGGATGTGAGGCGGCAGTGACATGCGTTGAAAGCTGGGATGTAAGAGTTTATACCTTGTCGCTAAACGACGCGAACATGCCGCGTACCACGGCAGCAGCTGTCCCGCCCCAAATAACGTTCAACTTTCCATGGAAAGCTCGGTTTCCCATTGAAAACGGAAAAAGGAACGCCTAGGCAGCAGCGAACGCCCGAACGTAATCCCCTGACGATTCACTGGACGAAATTCCGGATGATTCTCCTCATTCCATGATGTAATTGACTGACATTACCCGCCTTATTTTGTTTATTGAATTCGCGGAGATGGTGTAGTGGGGCGGAAGTGGTGTAGTGGCAAGTGGCACGCTTACCACGCGAGCGGTCCGGGTATCAAATCCTGTATCCTTGGTTGCCCGGGCCAACCACCAGAGATTAGTACGAGTACACGAGATTTCCGAACAGTAATGGTATGCTGGCCATTACTGCGTGGAAATCCATGTCTGAAAATTTCCTCTTGCCAGCTCTACAGGAACACTAGATATTCAGATTCTCAATCTAAAAGACCCACTGCATACGTAGACTTCACGTTGACGTCGGCAATATCACAAGCATTCGCTATTGCGGCGTTGTAACACTGTATGGACTCCAGTGTTAAATCTCCCATTCCGTGAAGAGATCCTCTGATAAAAACCTCGGTACCTCATCGAAAATCAATTTAAGACCATGAATATACCTGAGATCACGCAAAACCATATCTAAGTTTGCAGAGACTTCTTTGGCATGGACTTCGAGATCATCCAGGATCTGCAATGGCGTTCGAAAGAGTATATAGGAAGTAATACTGCAGTCGGTAAACAAATGGATTACCAACTCGTGGATCAGGAGGAAGAACTCGTTCCGATACTAGGACAGCAGATCCTGGATGTTCCGACAGATGAAGACCTCTTCGCAACCGCTCCTCTAAATCGGATGGCTCAAACATCGCAGGATGCTCCGCCACGACATCTTCTTCTCGGCTAGACGTCGACGCGTCTGTAGATGACATTCGTCCCCAACTCTGAATTACCGCCGCAACAATAATTTAATGACCGATTACAATTTATTAAGTTCTCGCGCTTCTATTCTAGAACGATTCCACCGTCAAACATTCGTTCGTTCAAATATTAAATGTAATGACATTACTGAAGAGCACAAAATAAAATCTTAGAGATTTATACAACTGCAACGCTTAAATACAACCCATTTGTGCACCACATCACCTCGCCTTATGAAGAAGATTTGAGATAAACATCAGTCAAAGCGTTTTAATAATAGGCTAGCAAAGTAGGAGATCAAAGTAACAATGGTCGCTCCCAATAACATTGGATGAGCACAATTGTGAAGCTGGATAGAGTTAGCACTGGCAGTCGTAAGGCATATAATGGATTTACAAAGTTGGAGGAAATCTCGTGATGGTATTAACAGAAACAGGAACGTCAAGCGTTGTACCGCTGACTAGTGCGTCCGAGAAGGAAAGACAGTTGTTACGCGCTTGGATTGTCACGCGGCGGGAGTCAATGCACTAGCGATCGAATGTTTGGAAGCACACCGCAGAGTCGAGTTTACCGAGCATCCTGACGTAATCGATGGCTCACACTACCTGCTAGCGGAGTGCTAAGATGCTCCGCGACATCTTCTTCTCGGCTAGACGTCGACGCGTCTGTAGATGACATTCTTCTCCAACTCTGAATTACCGCCGCAACAATAATTTAATGACCGATTACAATTTATTAAGTTCTCGCGCTTCTATTCTAGAACGATTCCACCGTCAAACATTCGTTCGGTTCAAATATTAAATGTAATGACATTACTGAAGAGCACAAAATAAAATCTTAGAGATTTATACAACTGCAACGCTTAAATACAACCCATTTGTGCACCACATCACCTCGCCTTATGAAGAAGATTTGAGATAAACATCAGTCAAAGCGCTTTAATAATAGGCTAGCAAAGTAGGAGATCAAAGTAACAATGGTCGCTCCCAATGACATTGGATGAGCACAATTGTGTAGAGTCCAACTATTGGATGGTAAGAAAAAATCCATGCATTACAAACCAATCAACTATGTCTTAATTCTTTAGCTTTTCCAATTGTGCCATGGAAGTAGCAACGCACGAACATTCAACCATGAGTCACAGCAGAACAAGGTCAATGTGTCAGTGAATTCGGAGGTGTATAATATAGGTACAGAAGCCTTCCAGATGTGAAATACAAAAGTAATATTCTACAAAACACTGTCGAACATGGAGCACCATAAACCGTAATAGAAATGCTACCCGGACCCACTCATAAACTATAAAGATAGCTATTCACTGCAACATATCAATATCTTCGTTGAATGAGCGCGACTCGGGTGAAGGCGGTTGTTCTCCATCGAGAATGTCGTTGTGCCAGCTGACCACACCTGCTCTTCCATCACACTGACGGCGTTTTGCTCGTTGATGCCCAGAAATCATTGCGGGCCCTCCTTTTACGAAAGGTGCGCTCATACCATACAGGGAAAAGAAAAGATCCATCAGCAAAAGCCTCACCCGTGGCTCCTTAAAATTCAGCTTACAAAAGAGAAATTATAAAGGACAGCTAAATTGATCACCAGAGAAGTTCTGCTCATGAGCATCCATAACTCTTCAGCAATTTGAGCCGTATTACACGGATTTGTCGGACCGGTATCAGTACTGGAAAAATATTACTCAAAAAAATCCTCAGTTTTCGAGGGAAGATAAGGAGCTCTACATCACTGAAGAATCAAAATAGG